ACGGGGGGAAAGGGGGGGGGACGGTACCGGGGGGGGACAGGAGGGGACGGGGGGGGACAGGGGGGACAGGAGGAGACAGGGGGGACAGGAGGGGACAGGAGGGGACACGGAGGAACGGGGGGAACAGGGGAGGGACAAGGGGGACAGAGGCCGGTACCAACCCGGGGGGGCGCGGCCGGTACCAATGGGGGGGGCAGGGGGGACAGGGTCGGTACCAACTGAGGGTGAAGAGGGAACCAGGGGAGGGGGCTGGGAGGAAACACCCCCCCCCGAGAGCCTGAGATGGTCCAAACTGCACCCCAGAATGGGTTAAAATCCACCCCAAAATGGGTCAAACCCCACCATGAAACAGGTCAGAAATTCGGCCTAAAATGGGTCAAGATTTCACCCCCAAAGTGGGTCAAAAATTCACCCGGAAACGGGTCAAAATTCGCCCCAAAACGAGTCAAAATCCATCCCAAAGTGGGTCCAAAATTCAGCCCAAAATGGGTCCAAAATTCAGCCCAACACAGGTCAAAATCTGTCCAGAAATTATTCCAAATCCGTCCTGTAATTGGTTAGAATTCCATGAGAAATGGGTCCAAAATTCCCTCCCGAAATCAATCCAAATCCATCTCAAAATGGGTCAAAATCCATCCGGAGACCCCAAAAGGGGTGAAAATCCCCAAATCCACCCTGAAACGGGTCAAAATCCGTCTGGAAATGGACCAAAACCCACCTGGAAACAGCTCCAAAATCCATCCTTGAAACGAGTCCAAAATCCACCTTTTTTTTCCCCCCCCGACCCAAAAAAACCGCTGGAATTTGCTCCGTGGGTTCGTTCCTTCCCCGTGTTGTCGATCCTTTCCCGTCATCATCCAAAAAAAAAAAAATGCGCCAAATTTTCCGGGAAAACCCGGGGGGGGGGGGGGGGGGGGAAATCCGGTGGGATCCGACATTCCAGGTGATCCCAAAACCCCTTCGGGAGCGGTGCTTCCCCCCCCGGGAGGGCTCCCCCCGCGCTGGGAATGGCCCCGTGTCCCTGTTGGGATCCGTTTTCCCGGTTTTCCCCCCCGGGAGGGCTCCCCCCGCACTGGGAATGGCCCCGTGTCCCTGTTAGGATCCGTTATCCCAGTTTTCCCTCCGGGAGGGCTCCCCCCGCACTGGGAATGACCCCGTGTCCCTGTTAGGATCCGTTATCCCGGTTTTCCCCCCCCCACGGGAGGGCTCACCCCGCGCTGGGGAATGGCCCCGTGTCCCCGTGGGGATCCGTTATCCCGGTTTTCCCCCCGGGAAGGTTCCCCCCGCACTGGGAATGGCCCCGTGTCCCTGTTGGGATCCGTTATCCCGGTTTTCCCCCCCGGGAAGGTTCCCCCCGCGCTGGGAATGGCCCCGTGTCCCCGTGGGGATCCGTTATCCCGGTTTTCCCCCCGGGAAGGCGCCGCCATGTCCCTGTGCCAGCGGGGGATGAAGCGGAGCCCGGGCGAGGCCGAGGGCTGCTCCTTCCCGGCCGGGCCCGGGCTCAAGGTGTTCCTGCACTGGAGCGGGGAGGAGGAGCGGGAGCGCTGCCGGGTCTATTCCCAGGGCTCCCTCAGCGCCGAGGAGATCTGCATCGACCTCGCCCGCAGGATCGGTGAGTGCCGGCGAGGACGGAGCCCCCCCCGGGAATTCCCGGGGCTCTGCTTCCCGGGAATCCCGCTGGATTTCGCCCCCGGGCCGAGAAGTTCCCGGGAGGCCCGGCTGGGTTTGCGCCGCTGGGAGGGGTGGGAAGGACGGGCTGGGAAAGGGGTGTGGTGGTGAAAGCCTTGGAATTGTGTCCCGGCAGGAATCACCCCGTTGTGTTACAGCCTCTTCGCCCTCTACGACCCCCAGGGCCGGGTGTGGCTCCCCCCAAACCACCAATTCCAGGTGGGAAAAGACACCAACGTCCACCTGATCTTCAGGATGAGGTGAGGCCTCTGCCCCCCCAGCCCGGGGCCTTTCCAGAGCTCAGCCCTGGGCACCATTCCCGGCTTTTCCTTGGGGTTGTGCCGGAAGGAACGTCAGGTTTTCCCACCTCTTTGCTCCCGGGGGTTACGTGTTTCCAGGTTGTCCATGTCCAGATTTCTTTGGGAAACCCGGCAGGGCTGGTCCAGCTGGGGAATGTTATGGATTTAGAGCCCCTGCCTCCCCTCCAGCACGGAAAGATCCGTTTCCTTATTCCAAGTATTTCTCCCTGGGGCTCCTTGTTCGTTCTCCCACCTCTCAGCCCGGGGACAACGCCCCATCCAAAGGTTTCTGGGACCAACAGGGAACATCCAGGGGCTGCTTCCCGTCACTTCCCAGTCCGGATTCACCCCCTGTGCCCAAATCCCACCTTTTTTACGGATGTGGTTTTCCTGTGCTTTCAGGACCTTTTATTCCTAAAATAAACCCCCAAACCCCCCGGGTTTGAGCCCGGACTGTGACTCCCGGCCCGGCCCCAGCCCCTCTCCCTCTCCTCCTCCCCCCTTTCCAGGTACTATTTCCGGAACTGGCACGGGATGAACGACAAGGAGCCGGCGGTTTTCCGGAATGTGCCTCGTCCGGGGGATTCCCTGGAGGAAAAACCCTCTGGGGGAGCTTTGCTGGACAGATCCTCCTTCGAGTACCTGTTCGAGCAGGTGACGGGGCTGGGGCTGGGAAAAACCGGGGGGAATTCCCTTCAGTCCGGCGGGAGTTGGGAAAACTGGGAGGAATTCCCTGAAATCCCTCCGGATTTGGCTCCGGCCTGTTGCCAGGATCCGTTTTTTTCCATCTCCAGGCATTTATTTGAAGGATAAACACCCCCCCCCCCCCCCCAGTTTTCCCTTTGGAAAGGTTTTATCCTGCTGGAAGCTTCGCCGGGTGGGATTCCGGAATTCTTTTAGGGATAATTTGGCCTGGGAAGGGGTTTTTTAATTGGGGTTGGTTTTATTTAAATCTGAAGTTAAATATTTATTGATTTGTTTTTGTCCCACCTTTAAAATTAAGGGTGGGATAATAAAGGGATGTTACTTTAAATTAATTAATTTAATTTAGTTTAATTAAGAGAGGGAACTAGTGGAAAATCCCTGCTCAGGGAATTCAGCTCGGGGATGTGGTTTTTTTTCCCCAATCATCCCATTTTTTTTTTTTCCAGGGAAAATTCGAGTTCATCCACGACGTCGCCTCCCTGAGGGATTTCCGGAGCGAGCCCGAAATCCAGAGGTTCAAGAACGAGAGCCTGGGAATGGCTGTGCTCCACCTCTCCCACATCGCCCTCAGAAAGGGCATTTCCCTGGAGGAAGTGGCCCGGAAATACAGGTGACTGGGAAGCCCTGCTTTGCCCCTCCTTTTCCCACCCTTCTCCCTCCTTCTTTTCCTCACTGGAAACCCAGGGCTGGTTTCCCTGGAACTTGGGATGCCCAGAGAGCCCCAGGAAAAGCCTCTGGAGAATCTGGTGTGGGATGGATTGGGATGGGAATGGACGGGAATGCTGGGTGGGATTGGGATGGGAATGGACTGGAATGTTTGGTGGGATTGGGATGGGAATGGACGGGAATGTTGGGTGGGATTGGGATGGGAATGGATTGGAATGGGAATGGACTGGAATGTTGGGTGGGATTGGGATGGGAATGGACTGGAATGTTGGGTGGGACTGGGATGGGAATGGACTGGAATGTTTGGTGGGATTGGGATGGGAATGGACGGGAATGCTGGGTGGGATTGGGATGGGAATGGACGGGAATGTTGGGTGGGATTGGGATGGGAATAGACTGGAATGGGAATGGACTGGAATGTTGGGTGGGATTGGGATGGGAATGGATTGGAATGTTGGGTGGGATTGGGATGGGAATGGACTGGAATGTTTGGTGGGATTGGGATGGGAATGGACGGGAATGGGAATGGACTGGAATGTTTGGTGGGATTGGGATGGGAATGGACGGGAATGCTGCCTGGGATTGGGATGGGAATGGACGGGAATGCTGCCTGGGATTGGGATGGGAATGGACGGGAATGCTGCCTGGGATTGGGATGGGAACACCGGGAACCATTCCGGACAACCCGGGGCGGGGCGGAAAAGCCGATCCCGAGCTCTCCCCGAGCCGTCACTCCCCGTTTTCCCCCCCCCCCCCGTGGCAGCTTCAAGGACTGCATCCCGCGCTCCTTCCAGCGGCAGATCCAGCAGAACAGCCTCCTGACGCGCTTCCGCATGCGCAGCGTCTTCCGGCGCTTCCTGCGGCGCTTCCAGCGGCACACGGTGGGCGCCGGGCGGCTCTCGGAGCGGGACCTCATGGCCAAGTACCTGGCCACGCTGGAGCTGCTGGCGCCGCGCTTCGGGAGCGAGCTCTTCCCGGCCCTGGCCCTGGAGGCGGCGGCCGAGGGGGACAAGGGGCCGCCCGGCGCCAACGGGGCCCCCCCGGAGCCGGGGCCGGAGCCGGGGCGGCCCCTGATCCCGCGGGACCCGCCCGTCACTCACCACGTCCTGGTCTCCGGCACCGCCGGCATCCAGTGGCGCCCGGCACCGCCAGAGGTGGGTCGGGGTCCTTCCCGTCCCAGTCCCACGCTGGGAGCTTCCCAGGGGGCTCCGGGGGTGTCCAGAGCTCATCCCGGCTTGCCCAGAGCCTTTCCCGGGATTCCCGTCCCAATCCCACCCAGCATTCCAGTCTATTCCCATTCCAGTCCATTCCCATCCCAATCCCACCCAGCATTCCAGTCTATTCCCATTCCAGTCCATTCCCATCCCAATCCCACCCAGCATTCCAGTCTATTCCCATTCCAGTCTATTCCCATCCCAATCCCACCCAGCATTCCAGTCTATTCCCATTCCAGTCTATTCCCATCCCAATCCCACCCAACATTCCAGTCTGCTCCCATCCCAATCCCACCCAACATTCCACTCCATTCCCATCCCAGTCCCACCCAACATTCCAGTCCATTCCCATCCCAATCCCACCCAGCATTCCAGTCTATTCCCATTCCAGTCCATTCCCATCCCAGTCCCACGCCACATTCCCGTCCGCTCCCATCCCAATCCATCCCACACCGGATGCTTCCCAGGCTTTTCCTGGGGCTCTCTGGACATCCAGAGTTCCTTTCCAGCTTATCCCAGTTTGCCCCGAGCCTTTCCCAGCATTCCCATCCCTGTCCCACCCCCCCCCATCTCCAGGCTTTTCCCGGGGCCCCTCCTCATCCCGGTTTCCCCAGTACCCCCCCCGACCCTTCCAGCAGCCGGAGACCCTGGAATTGTCCCCTCTGCCCCTCCGCAGAGCGCGGAGCCCTTCTCCCAGCGCGGCTACTTCGGGAGGAAGGGCCGGACCAAGGAGCCGGATCCCAAGGCCGCGGCGCGGCCGCCGGAGCCCAGCGAGCCCCCCTGGTGCCACTTCTGCGACTTCCGGGAGATCACCCACGTGGTGGTGAAGGATTCCCGGATCAGCATCCACCGGCAGGACAACCAGTGCCTGGTGAGCGGCGCCGGGGCCCTCCCGGGATCCCGGCAGGAGGATTTTCCCGGCGTTTGCCGAGGGGGTTTTGGGGCGGTCGGGGCTCAGCCCTGGTGATTCCTGTTGGCAGGAGGTGGCTCTGCCGTCGCCCGGGCTCGCCCTGTCCCTGGTGTCGCTGGTGGACGGATATTTCCGGCTCACGGCCGATTCCAGCCATTACCTGTGCCACGACGTGGCCCCGCCCCGGCTCCTCCTGAGCATCCGCCACGGCATCCACGGGCCCATGCAGTGAGTGGGGGACAGGGGGGATGATCCCGGGCCTCGGGGCTCATCCGGAGCTGCTCCCTGTCCTCGGGGCTCAGCCGGAGTCCTTTCCTGCCCTCGGAGCTCTCCCGGAGTGTTTTGTCTCCTTGGGGCTCATCCAACCCCATTCCATGTCCCCTGGGCTCATCCAACCCCATTCCATGTCCTCAGGGCTCATCCAACCCCATTCCATGTCCCCTGGGCTCATCCAACCCCATTCCATGTCCCCTGGGCTCATCCAACCCCATTCCCTGTTCTCAGGGCTCATCCAACCCCATTCCATGTCCACTGGGCTCATCCAACCCCATTCCATGTCTTCAGGGCTCATCCAACCCCATTCCATGTCCCCTGGGCTCATCCAACCCCATTCCAGGTCCACTGGGCTCATCCAACCCCATTCCATGTCTTCAGGGCTCATCCAACCCCATTCCATGTCCCCTGGGCTCATCCAACCCCATTCCAGGTCCACTGGGCTCATCCAACCCCATTCCATGTCCCCTGGGCTCATCCAACCCCATTCCATGTCCTCAGGGCTCATCCAGAGCCATTCCCTGTTCTCAGGGCTCATCCAGGTGTCCTTGAGGCTCTCCCAGAGTCATTCCCTGTTTTTTGGGTTCATCCCAAGCCATTCCCTGTCCTTGGGGCCCCCCTGGAGCTGTTTCCTGCTCTTGGGAGCTCTCTTGGAGAGCTCCATCTCCTTGGGGCTCATCCAACACCATTCCACAGCCTCTGGTTCCTCTGGAGCCATCCCACGTCCTTGGGGCTCATCCCAATCCGTTCCCTGTCTCCTGCTCCCAGGGAGGAGTTCGTTTTTGCCAAGCTCCGCCGGGAGGAGCCGGAGGAAGGGCTTTACATCCTCCGCTGGAGCGTCCTGGATTTCAACCGGATGATCCTCTCCGTGGTCAAACGGAGCCAGCAGCAGGTAGGAGGCGATTCCCGGCGCAGCATTCCCGGGAATCGCGGGCCCTGCTCTCCCTCGGGATGCGCCGGGAGCTGCGGAGCCGCCGCTCCCCGCCCCCACTCCCCTTTTCCAGGCCCCCGGAACGCCGGGAGCCTTCAAGTTCCGGCAGTTCCGGATCCAGAAGAAGGGGGAGTCCTTCGTGCTGGAGGGCTGGGACCGGGAATTCCCCTCCCTGCGGGAGCTGCTGGACGTGCTCAAGGGCTGCACCCTCCGCTCCGGGGAGGAAAACTTCACGGTGAAGAGGTGCTGCCCCCCCAGACCGGGAGGTACGGACACGGATCGGCCCCCGGCATTGGGAATGGTGGGAATGGCGGGAATCCGGGAGCTCACGGGGCCCTCCCCTCCCTCTCCCAGAGATCTCGGACCTGCTGATCACGAGGAAGGTGAAGGACAACGGGAAGCAGATCCTGAACCTCACCCAGCTCAGCTTCCACCAGATCCGCAAGAACGAGATCACCCAGGTGCTGCTCTCCCGGGATTTGGGCTGCTCTGCTTTCCCGGGATTCGGGACTGGGGGGTGGAAGGACCTGCTCTGCCTTCCCGGGATTCCTGGAATTGGGGAGGGATCCTCTCTGCCTTCCCAGGATTCACCCCAGATCCCGGGATCCAGAGCGGGAGGATCCTCCCACCCCCCTGGGCCAGTTTGGGGATTGTTTCGATCTTTTCATTCCTTCCATTTTCAAGGAAAAGGGGGGGAAGATCCACATGGAAGCAGCTTTTCCCACAGTGGGGTACAGAGGGAAGCCGGGGGGGGGTCGGATGAGGATTCCCACCCTCCTGTCACCATTCCAGAGGGTCCAACACTTGCCCTTTTCCCTGTTTTCCCAGCGAGCCCACCTGGGCCAGGGCACCCGGACCAACATCTACGACGGGGTCCTGACGGTCTGCGGGAATTCCGGGAACGACGACGAGGCCGAGTACTTTTCCACGGAGCAGAACAACAACAGCCGGGAGATGCACGTGATCCTCAAAGTCCTGGATCCCAGTCACAGGGACATCGCCCTGGTGAGCCCCCCCGGGGTGGGATACGGGGGGAAAACCGGCATCCGAGCGGTGGGATACGGATCCAGGGGGTGGAACGTGGCTCAGGGGGCTGGAATACGGATCCAGGGGGTGGAATGTGGCTCCAGGGGCTGGAATGTGGCTTTAGGGAATGGGATACGAATCCAAGGCTGCAACACGGCTCCAGGGGTTGGAATATGGTTGCAAGGGCTGGAACACGGATCCAAGGGGGCTGGAACATGGTTCCAGGGGCTGGAATGTGGCTCTGGGGGTTGGAATGTGACTCCAAGGGCTGGAACACAGTGCCAGGGGCTGGAATATGAATCCAGGGGGGCTGGAACGTGGCTCCAGAAGGGCTGGAGTGTGGCTCCGGGATGCTCCCTGGCTGCTCCGGAATTCCAGGGCCCGGCTGACATTCCCGGGGCTGTTCCCACAGGCCTTCTTCGAGGCCGCCAGCCTGATGAGCCAAGTGTCCCACGTCCACCTGGCCTTCGTCCACGGGGTCTGCGTGCGCGGCTCCGAGAGTGAGTGGGACCCCATTCCCCCCTTTCCCTGGGACCCCATTCCCCCTTTCCCTGGGACCCCATTCCCACCTTTCCCTGGGACCCCATTCCCCCTTTCCCTGGGACCCCATTCCCCCTTTCCCCGGGGCCCCATTCCCCCTTTCCCTGGGACCCCATTCCCCCCTTTCCCTGGGACCCCATTCCCCCTTTCCCTGGGACCCCATTCCCCCCTTTCCCTGGGACCCCATTCCCACCTTTCCCTGGGACCCCATTCCCGCCTTTCCCCGGGACCCCATTCCCCCCTTTCCCCGGGACCCCATTCCCCCTTTCCCCGGGCCGTCCCCGGAGCGGGGCCGGGCAGAGCCTCCCTGTGTCCCGCAGACATCCTGGTGGAGGAGTTTGTGGAACACGGGCCCCTGGACGTGCTGCTGCGCAAGGAGAAGGGCCGGATCTCCGTGGGCTGGAAAATCACCGTGGCCAAACAGCTGGGAAGTGCCTTGAGCTACCTGGTAATGGGAACGGGGCTCTTCCAGCCGGGAATTCTCAGCGGGATCCTCCCCTGCAGCTTCCCCAGGGGATAATCCCGTTTTTAGGGTTATTCTGCCCCATCCCTGCTCCCTCTTCCCTGGGAAGGAACATCCTGGGGAGAGGGGGAATTCAAATCCCAAATCCTGGCTCTGTAGGTTCAGTTCAGAGCTGGGAAAAGCCATGGATGAGGATGGGATCCCAACCAGGGGCTTGGGAATGGTGTTGGAAAACCCTCCCCATCCTTTTATTCCCTGCTCCCGGTTTATCCTGGAGCAAAATCCCAGGACAGGGAGATGACACAGAGAATTGGAGCCAGGAATCCCACTTTCTTGTTTTATCTTGGAATCCCTGAGCTTGACCTCGTCCTGCTGCATCACTGGGAGCTTTCCCAAGGTTTCCTTTGTTTTATCCCAGGAGGATAAAAACCTGGTGCACGGGAACGTGTGTGCCAAGAACATCCTGCTGGCCAGGAAAGGGCTGGAAGACGGATCCGCTCCCTTTGTGAAGCTCAGCGATCCCGGGATCAGCTTCACGGTGCTCTCCCGGGAAGGTGCGGGATCATCCCGGCCTGGAGCTGGCCAGGGGTGGAATTCCCAGTGGAAAATCCGGGCGGTTTTTCCCCCCTTCCCTCATGAATCCCACGGATTTTGCCGGAGCCGTTCTGCCAAAATCTTCCCTGCTTTCCCAACGTGAATTTCCCCGATATTTGGCATTTTGGATGTGGGAATTCTGCCTGGTTTTGGCTCAAACCCTCCATCGGGGCTGATCCCCCCCTCGGTGTCCGGCCTCTCTCCGAGACCCTTCCCCACAGGATCTCTCCCGTTGCCCGCAGAGCGCGTGGACCGGATTCCCTGGATCGCCCCGGAATGCGTCCGGGATGTGGGAAACCTCAGCACGGCCGCCGACAAGTGGAGCTTTGGGACAACCCTCCTGGAAATCTGCTTCGACGCCGACGTCCCGCTGAAGGAACGAACCCCTTCCGAGGTGCCACTCCAGGCTTTTTGGGCCCTATCCCGCCATTTTAGACCTTATCCCACCATTTTGGGCCATATCCCGCCATTTTAGGCTGTATCCCACCATTTTGGCCTGTATCCTGTCATTTTAGGCCCTATCCCACCATTTTAGGCCCTATCCCACCATTTTAGGCCATATCCCACCATTTTAGGCCATATCCCGCCATTTTAGGCCGTCTCCCGCCATTTTGGGCCATATCCCACCACTTCGGGCCATATCCCACCATTTTGGGCCATATCCCGCCATTTTGGGCCGTCTCCCGCCATTTTGGGCCGTCTCCCGCCATTTTAGGCCGTATCCCACCATTTTGGGTTGTATCCCGCCATTTTAGGCCCTATCCCGCCATTTTAGGCCGTCTCCCGCCATTTTGGGCCGTCTCCCGCCATTTTAGGCCGTCTCCCGCCATTTTAGGCCGTCTCCCGCCATTTTAGGCCGTATCCCGCCACTTTGGGCCCTATCCCGCCATTTTAGGCTGTATCCCGCCATTTTAGGCCGTATCCCGCCATTTTTAGGGCCACTTTGGGCCGTCTCCCGGGCCGAGGCCGGCTCTGAGGGCCTCTGTTCCCGGTGTTCCCGCAGAAGGAGCGGTTCTACGAGAAGCGGCTGCGGCTCCCGGAGCCGTCGGGCCGGGAATTGGCCTCGCTGGTGTCGCAGTGCCTGGATTACACCCCCGGGGAACGGCCCTCCTTCCGCACCATCCTCAGGGACCTCACCCGGCTCCAGCCCCACGGTGAGCGCCGGGAATGGCTGGGACC